ATTTTTTCAGTCTCTTCTGTTTACATGGATGAGTGGTGCAGGTTGTAGATCTGTTGCCTCCCAGTAAAAAGGCTGCATGCAGGATTGAATCCCGGACTGGGATCTCTGAACACAACAAACAAATTCTTGGTGGAGTTTGCATGTCCTCTTCAAGCACTTGTCAGTTATCTCCAGGTACTCAGCCCACCTCCTTCTCTCTTGTTATATCTTGTTATTGAAATAAGAAAAAATTGAGTCAAATCAAGTATTYCAAGAATCTTACCAAGTAAAATTTTCTTACTCCATTGGCAGAAATTTTGACTTAATTTGAGTCAAATTTTCAGACTAACAAGACAAATAATCTTACACATTCTGAAAACAAGATTATTATTCTTACACAATCAGTTCTTGTTCAGTAAATCAGTCTCAAAACAAGATCAAAACGATTTTTTGGCTGGATATAAGATTTTAAAACTTGGTTAGGTGGACATTTTTTGCAGTGTATTCAGTACTGAAGAAATTCATGCTTTGGATTTTGATTACTCGGACAGTTTACTTACAGATGAATTATGTACTGTTGGGGGTACTCCTGTAGTTTGTGTCAATGGGTCACAGAAATACTGTAGATCAAAAACTGATATTTTAAAGACCTTCACTTTAAAAAGTTGTTTTTTTTCTACAAACTCTTTGAGAACAATAAAAAGGTGTACATGTTAAAAATATCTTTAACAAGTAAGATGATATTTGTTAAAATCTAACACAGAACCCCTCTTCAAACTGGTGAGCAAGGCCTTATATACATACAGTTTATGCATGTCTGGTTGTCTGCGATGCCTCAGGAGGGATGCTGCATGTGTTTCTTCCAAGCCCTTAATGAGTCAGAGAGCTGATCAGAGGAAATGGGATGAATGGACGGATCAGTGAAGGTGTAGGAGCTGAGCAACATCACAGCAACGACACAATGAGAAGATGGATGGAGAGACCGCCACAGCTCACATCTGAAACTTTCAGCCTGATCAATAATGTGTTTCCTTCAGTTTTTCCTCACATCGTTGAGCTTTATCGACAGATTGCACACAGATCTAACAGGCCCCGGGATCATTATCTGCCYCTCAGCGTTCACATGAAGAGTGGACACTTTAAACAGCTGATAAAAGGCAGGAAAAGAAAGTAGGGTGTAAGACTTTTTAAATCCTTTAAAGTTTATTTTCATCACGTGAAGGCAGACGACGTCGATTTTTGCTCGTGTCTCTGTGTGAGTCTGTTGTGTTAGCAAAATATTTCATGAATAACTGGATGAGATTTAATGAAACTTTCAGAAGGTCGTCCCTGGTTTGACATTTACAATTTATTAACATTTAGAATCGACCCAACCCAAGATGGCTGCCACAGCTAAGCAAACTTACAAAACCTTAAAATATCTATAACTCKGTCAATTTTTACAGATGTTAAGCTAAAAGATGAGAGTTATCTTCAGCACATAACTTCAGTATCCACAAGATTTTTGCTTAAATCTCTGGCATTAATTCCTGTCATCGATGCAGTTTGTTTGTTAGCAAAATATTTTTTGAACTAGTGGATTAGTTGTAACAAAACTCTCAAAATGAAATCACTGAATAAAGGTCTACAGTTGATTCAAATTTAGAGTCAACCCAACTCAGCATTGCTGCCACAGCTAAGTGACATCAACTAACAATAAAATAGCTATAACTCTGGTAATTGAACAGATATTGAGCTAAAACTTAGTGCTKTAGCTGACAATCATCCCCAACATATTCTCTGAGTGCTGCAACTTGCATATTATTTAAAACTTTGCCAGTGACTGTAAGAGTCAACAATGTCAGTCTGTTAGCAAAATATCTCAAGAATCACTTGATGGATTTTATTGAAATTCTCAGAAAGTAATCACTGGATGTATCTCTACAAATGATTAACTTATACGATCAATCCAACTTAAGCAGACTACCTATTAGCTCACACCAAAGGGCTCTAACTCACTCAAAAATAGACATTGAGTTGAAGCTTGATGTGATAGTAGCTGAGAGTTACTCACATCATCTAAACCAGTGGTTCCCAAACTTTTTATCTTCTGACCCACAAAATATCCATGGCAAAAACTTGTGACCCCAAATATTACTGGTCTGAGTACACAAACTACATTAATAACTCTAAAAACACAGGCTTTTTCACAATCTAAACAGCTTGTACACACATATAAATACTTATTTATACTTATTTTGTGTTTTTGTAATAACTACAGGAAWAAATATTACATCAGCAATTGTTTTATTACCCTTTAAATTGATTTCTGGAGATTATCCAAGGTGCTTCATGACCCATAATTGGGCCCCAAGCCCAACTTTGGGAACCAAAGTGCASTGGTTCCCAAACTTTTCAGCTTTTGACCCACAAAATAACAGTAGAGACCTGTGGCCCCAACTATTTCTGGATGATGAACATTTGTATCAGGTCAACAAAACATGGACTTAATAACAATATTTTAAACTACATTTATACATTTTAAATACACTAACCTCACTCCTTTGTAACAACTAAGGCAAAAATGTAATTAATTCAGAAAATCTTCTCAGGACCCCACCTTGATGTTTCAGGACCCCATTTTGGGTCCAGACCCCAACTTTGGGAAACACTGATCTAAACTAAGTGCGAACACATTTCAAAGTGTATCTTGATGTTTTTACGAGTTTTGACCTAACTTTGTGTCATCAGAGCATATTAGTTTAAAACTCTGGCACAGAATAAAGCGGGCGATACGCAAATCATTTAAAGAATATTTGGCCTATAATTTAGTTAATATATTTATTAACCGTCTGTAAGCAAAACCTTTGCTTTTACGCAGATAAAAATGAATACTGTTTACAATCAACCAGGTCGGTCAAATGTGACACAACAGCGCCATCTAGTGGCTGAAAGCTGCAACAGCAGCGCTCTTCGCACACAAAACGCTCGACAAAATGGAGCCTGATGCTCGGCCATGACAATGCAGGTCAGACAGGCTGCATGTGCTGCACACAAAAGCGGAAGAGAGGTCTAAAGACGAGCGTGGCTCCGTGGGAAATCCACACCGTGATTCACGACCTAAAGAACCACGGATCAGCTGCACCTCTCCAAACATTTAAAACGTCCTCCGTGGTTTTTTTTTTTTTTTTGGTTTATTTCCTGGAAATGACTTTCACCGCATAAGGCCAAATCCTTGCGCACAATGAGGGTGCAGCCTTGAAAGAATGCACACAGCATCAGTGCTGGAGGCAAGTGCACAAAGTGAAAAAAGCTCCGTTTTCAGACACAGCTCTGTGTGTGTGATGTTAAATAAACCCCCATGATCTTTAATCGTCAGGGCTGAGAGGGGTGGGGGGTGAATGTGGGTCAACAGCAATCATGCATGAGTTCACCAAGAGTTTAATATGAGCAGAAACAGATAACAGGAGCGTATGTGATCTTTAAGGATAGATAGGATATGGATGTCCATCCTGTCAGTTCAGTCCTTTAATGAAGCAGTAGCAAAATGCAAATGTATTTCTTCTTCAGTATTAAACCTTTTATGTTCAGAATCAAATGTTTGAGCAGTTTTGTGACTTTAAAATGAAATTACGTTTCATATCAGTTGAAAAACTGCCTCATTTTGTTAAATTTAACTTCTTATGAAATGAGTTTTGAACCTTTGATGAGCTCCTGCTTAAACTAAAGTTAACTTCAGTTAGTTTCCAGGACCTTAAATCAGGCTGAAGAATCAAACCGGAGACGCAGATTCGAGGAAAATTCCCAGGACTTGTTTTTATTAAGAGAATTTGAGAACACAAGAGAGGGACCAGACACCTGCATTTATCAGGGAAGGATTCCAAATCCGATCTTTAAAAGAAAAAAAGAAAAGAAAAAAAAAACGAGAGAAAAAGCATTTAGAAAAGCTGACACCACAGCCCAGATGGAGCAGGAACTGTTTTTTTTTTATTTTCCCGTATTTTTTAAATAATTTTTCCTTGATTTTTTTTTCTTCCACGCAGGGTCGTCTAGAAGACGGGTCGGAGGCGATTCACTGTTCCCGGAATGTTTCACATGTTCGTCTTCCTCTTTCTTATGGACAACACGCTTAAAACACACTTTTTTTTTTGTTTAAAACACAATTTCAGTGAAAAAA